TGATGAAAAAAAATACGGCAAAAAAGATTATTAAGGAAAAAGCGATCAAAAAATTATAGGAACAAAAGAGTTGATAAAAAGTGACGAAAACAAGGAAGACTAAATAAAGACTGTTGAACGCTTTTGTCACCTCTTTTTTGATAAAAAACGACAAAAACACGATTAAAGGTGGACTAAAATCTGGAAAAAAGCTTAGAAAACATGACAAAATCGCAATGAAAAGTCCACAAAAACAGGAAAAAAAAGGCGACAAAAACATCTTCAAGAGTGAAAAATAGCGACAACAAAAACAATGAAAAAAGCGCTAAAAAATGACAAAACTGTGAAAAAGTTACGGTAAAAAAATGAGTCAAAGAAAGCGTCAAAATAAATGAAAAAAGAACTACAAAAAAAACGGCGAAAAAAAAGGTGCTAAGAAACAAATGACCAAAAAAGTGACAAAGTCGACAAAAATATTGATAAAAAAAGAAGCTACAGAATAGGCTTTTGATTGCTTTTCGTTATCGCTCTTTGATTAGTAGTAAAAAACACGACATTTCACAAAAATAAGACAAAAAAGGGTAGCAAAAAGGTGATAAAAAGTGACAGAAAAGTGACATAAAAATAGACACAAAAATATAACAACAAACGACAACAAAGTCTATTCAAATTCTATAAAAAAAGGCGACAGAAAAATGGCCACAAAAATGGTCACAAAAGAAGCAACAATACTGCTTTAAAAAATTAGACTTAAAAAACAACAAAAAAAGGAGAATCCTTAGAATCTTTAGAATCTTTAGAATCTTTAGAATCTTTAGAATCTTTAGAATCTTTAGAATCTTTAGAATCTTTAGAATCTTTAGAATCTTTAGAATCTTTAGAATCTTTAGAATCTTTAGAATCTTTAGAATCTTTAGAATCTTTAGAATCTTTAGAATCTTTAGAATCTTTAGAATCTTTAGAATCTTTAGAATCTTTAGAATCTTTAGAATCTTTAGAATCTTTAGAATCTTTAGAATCTTTAGAATCTTTAGAATCTTTAGAATCTTTAGAATCTTTAGAATCTTCAGAATCTTCAGAATCTTCAGAATCTTCAGAATCTTCAGAATCTTCAGAATCTTCAGAATCTTCAGAATCTTCAGAATCTTCAGAATCTTCAGAATCTTCAGAATCTTCAGAATCTTCAGAATATTCAGAATATTCAGAATCTTCAGAATCTTCAGAACCTTCAGAATCTTCAGAATCTTCAGAATCTTCAGAATCTTCAGAATCTTCAGAATCTTCAGAATCTTCAGAATCTTCAGAATCTTTTGAATGTTTAGAATCTTTAGAATCTTTTGAATGTTTAGAATCTTTAGAATCTTTAGAATGTTTAGAATCTTTAGAATCTTTAGAATCTTTAGAATCTTTAGAATCTTTAGAATCTTTAGAATCTTTAGAATCTTTAGAATCTTTAGAATCTTTAGAATCTTTAGAATCTTTAGAATCTTTAGAATCTTTAGAATCTTTAGAATCTTTAGAATCTTTAGAATCTTTAGAATCTTTAGAATCTTTAGAATCTTTAGAATCTTTAGAATCTTTAGAATCTTTAGAATCTTTTGAATGTTTAGAATGTTTAGAATGTTTAGAATGTTTAGAATGTTTAGAATGTTTAGAATCTTTAGAATCTTTAGAATCTTTAGAATCTTTGGAATCTTTGGAATCTTTGGAATCTTTGGAATCTTTGGAATCTTTGGAATCTTTAGAATCTTTAGAATCATTAGAATCATTAGAAACTTTAGAGTCTTTAGAATCTTTAGAGTCTTTAGAGTCTTTAGAGTCTTTAGAGTCGTTTACAACCTTTACAACCTTTAGAATATTCAGAATCTTTAGAATCCTTGGGATCCTTGGGATCTTTGAAATCTTTGGGATTTTTAGAATCTTTAGAATCTCCGGAATCTCTAGAATCTTTAAAATCTCCGGAATCTTCGAAATCTTCGGAATTTTTAGATGCTTTAGAATTTTCAAAACCTTTGGAATATTTAGAACTTTTAAAAACTCTAGAATCCTAGAATCTTTAGAGTTGTTAAAGTTCTCAGAGTGTTGAGAGTCATTAGAGTCCTCAGAATCCTCACAATCCCTAGATTATTTAGAGTTTTTTAAAATTTTCGACATTTTAGAATTACTAGAATGTTTGAAATTGTAGAAAATAAAGGTTCTCTAGATTCATAAAATCTCTAGTACCTTCAGGACATCTAAGATCTTTATTCTTTAGTATCTTTACAATTGGGAACCTTCCTAATCTTTTTCTAATCTATTCTAATCTAATTTATACGATTTTTAAATTCTTTGGGGCATCTGGAATAATAAGAATCTTTGAAATTTTTAGAAACTATAGATTTTTTAAAATCTTTAAAATTTTATAAGTTCCCAACAGCTCTAGTTTCTTCTCTTCGAGAGGATTCTAGAATTTTTAAAACTTTTCGGATCTTTAGTATTTTTAAAATCTTTACAATTTGAATATTTGAAAGAATTTTTACAACCTTTGGAATATTTCAGTTCTTCGAGTCTTTAGAGCCTTCAGAATCTCTGGAATCTCTGTAAATTCTAGAGTCTTTAGAGTTTTCAGACTCCTTAAAGCTCTTTAGTCTTGAGGACCTTTAAAATTTTGGAAATTCTACATTCTCTACAACGTTCTAGAACATTTAAAATTTTGACAATTTTTGGAACGTTTGAGCCCTTTTGAATCTTTGAAATGTTTAGATCTCTGCAGTCTCTGGAATCTCCGAAATCTCTGGAATCTCTAGAAACTCTAGAGTCTTTACTTACTTGAAAAATTGCAATTTTTACAATCTTTGGAACATTTGAGAGCTAGAGTTCTTAGAATCTTTAGAATCTCTAGAATCTCCGAGATCTTTAAAAAATCAAGAGTCTTTACAGCCTTTAGAATTTTTGGAAATTGTCGACATTTAAAATCTCTACAATGTTCTAGAATGTTTAAAATGTTTGACCCTTTGGAGTCCTTAGAGTCTTTAGAATCTCTAGAAAATCTCAAATCTTTGAAATTTCTGTAATTGTTGGAAAATCAAGACTCCTTAGAATTCTCAGGGTCAACGGAGACTTGAGAGATTCAGAGTCCTTAGAATCTTTAGTCGTTACAGCCTTTTGAATTTTTGGAAATTTTTTACATTTTAAATTTCTACGATGTTCTAGAATATTTAGAATTATTTCTAGATTAGTGTCCTTAGAGTCTTTAGAGTCTTGAGAATCTCTGAAATCTCTGTAACATGTGATGTCTCCGAAATATTTTAAATCCCTGAAAATTCTTGGAATCTTTAGCGTTCTCAGAGCAATCATAATCCTGGGAACCCTTAACCCCTCCCTGACTCGTGACAGGGAACAGCTGTGAGGCATTATTTCCGACTGCCTGATACCATTCTTTTTCTAACTTAAAGGAGGATTGGCAGTATTATTGTATATTTTTCACATGCAGCTAGAAACATCGTTTTTTCACTAGCAGCCTGGACGCATGCAAATGTCGACTCATTTAGTGGTAGCAAATTCAACTTTTGCTACCACGGGTTCAAAAAGAAAAATTGAGGTTATGTACGCAATGTTTGATGTGATTATTTCTTAAAAAATGAACAAATGTGTGCTACAAACATTACTTGAGTATACGCATGGTAGCTGGTAGACGGTAGAAGATAAAATGATTAACTCAGCGACAAGTAGAAACGGTTTTCTTTGTGTTGAAGATTTAGATCAAGTTTGATTAGAAATCAAAACAAAATCATGTTGCGTCAAAAAATTGAACGTTTATTTTTCAGTTTATTGTCTTATGGTTTCTACCAGTGAAAAAAATAGTATATTAACCACGGTTGCAAAGCCACTTCTAGACCTCGCACTTAGAGCCCTCGACGCTGCGCGTCTCGGGTTCTAATTTGCGCTCGGTCTAGAATGCTTGGCTCTGCAACCTTGGCTAATAATATACTATTTTATTTGACCTGATTGTTCTTGACCTCACCCGACCTGACCTTAATCTAACCTGACTTGACTTGACTTGCCCTAAAATAACTGAACATGACTTAACCTGACCTCACCGGACCTGGACTTGGCCCAAACTTTTCACAGACATATTGTTGAAAAGTAAAAATATGTAATTCAGCAGCTTAAAATACCATTTTTAGCTGACCTGACCTGAGTTGACTTGACCTGATCTGACATGACATGACATGACCTGACTAACCTGATCTAACCAGATCTGACCTGACCTGAACTGATTTGACCCGACATCATCTGACCTACTGTCAAAGATGTATTATTAAAACGTGAAAATAATGTACATACTCAAAAACCAAATCGAAGAAACAAATTTTTAAATTGGAAATAATCAATATTTTGGCATGGATAAAAATACTTATTTTGATATGTAACACAGAACAAGATTTTAGAAAAATAACCTGAACATGTTCTGGGGATTTCGTAAAAAACAATAATCAATAGTACAACAGGATCACATCAAGGAAAATGTGTTATGAAAATGCACTTAATTTTTTTTTTGACATGACGTAATCAGCATGTTTGAAAAACAATCGATAGGCAAATTTTGTTCATGAAAATCTTAAAATCCTAAAACATAATCGTCGCCAACAAAGTTCTATTAAAAGTGTCGTAACATGATAATTCGCAACACACCCGAAGGTCGTTCGAAGCCGACAACCAACAATACAACACGACCAACAAAATTTTAAACCCATCCTTCTCCGCTGTCCAATACTCGCCAATACATCCACCCCTTTAAATCAAACGTCGAATATGTTGAAATATAACATGTAAATAAAAAATATTTATGGTATCCATAAATTCCCGGCCTCATCTTGCACAAGCCATTCCTGGCCGAATACATTTCCCGTCATGAATTTTCTATGCGCCCGCTCAGGCACCGGTCCGGTAGTCGAAACTTGTAAATTTAACCCCGTCTCGTACATACACACGAGTCACGCAATCCACATAGCCCAGAAGTGAGCCGAAATGATTTACAGAGCCCCTCGAAGACAACTGGCCTCCGGACTGCAACCGATCGGTGGAATTGTCCAGACAGCAGCCCAGAGCCATCGTGACCAGTCCGGGATTTCCACGCCATTATCCCGACAACACGGACTGCGAAACCGATATCACGGCGCCTTCTGGTTATCGACTCGTGCTGGATTTCGAAGAGCTGGTCCTCGAGAATGAACCATCGTAAGTCATCTAACTATTTCAGTTTTATTTTAATATCAATGAAAGCTCTGAATTCGTGGAGCACTGATGCAGATGAATCTCTGGTGGAAGTTTTCCTTGTACATTTCTAGTAAATAATGATATTTGACGTTGAACGAACTTCCCCCAATATTTTTTTGTAATCCCCAGCTTATACCCACGCGCATTTTCTACATAAACATCCGCTTCAGCATTAAATCTTCAAAATCAGTGACATCGACGTAACGGGGAGGGTTCGTGATGTCCTCCGAAAGCAGTTACCGGTGTAATCGTTACAATTCAAAAGCCCACGTGACTTGCCACCTGGCGCAGTATCTTTTTATTCAGTGGTAGTTTATTCCGATAAGTTGAAATAAACATTTATCTTGCTTATAATTTACGAATGAACAACGATGTGGTAGTGTCGATGTATTTGGGCACAAAGACTAAATTATTAACACTGTTTATTACTTTACCAACAACTGCGAGGTTCTCGCGATATCAATTTCTACAGCAATTGTCAGTTTACCTTAATACTTTTCGGCACGCACCAACCGCTCCCTAATGGGTGCCAATACATCAAAGGAAATAAATATAAATTGATAAAGGTACAAGTTTAGAAAACACGTTTCTATTTTCGTCATGGAATAATAACCGGCTGTTTCATAAGAAATTTATCAATTTTTGGTAGAGTGAGGATTCTTTAATTACAGAAATAGATTTTTCGGTATTATACAGGTTGATTAAAAATTGTTATACATCAAATTGGCTTTGGAAAATAAGCCACTGCAACTTTAATAAGAATTTGAAGCTTCGATGAAGTAGGTAACATAACAATCTATAATTTCGTTTGAATTAGTTGTTGCCTATTTTGCAGGCAGCAAAAATACTGAAATGACTTTAAAAAATTTTGTTATGACTGACATTTGTAGCAAGCAACAAAATCATCACAAGGAAGCGGCAAAATTCACGAAATTTCAAAGCCAACTTGATGTACTATCTTGTATATTTACCTTATATTTGCTTATGATAATGTTTATTTTTATTTGAGGTATTAACGACATTTTTTTAGTAAAATTCTAATCACGGATTTTCCATGTTTGTGTTTTTTAATGTTTCAAAAAAATGCTTAATTAAAATTGTTGTAAATATTATTTCTTCTAATTTTTTCTTCATATCTCGTTAAAAAATGATTTTTTTCAGCCACGAATTTACCTGCCGCCGTTATAAAAATTTTCTGTCATATTCGTGTTAACGGACTTTTTCTTAAACTGATGTTTTATGGTACTCGCTTCACTCGTTTCGACCACCTGAATCTATTACTCAAAAAATTGAACTCAAAAAGTATGATTTCTCCTTCGTATTTAAAAACTACTCAGTTATCAAAAACTACATTAATATATAAAATATTTCAACAAGCGTGCAGTCACACAATGTCCTATTTTTAATATAACACCCCGTATGTTTTTCAACCCGTCATTGGACTCTTCTTAGGCTAGATAAAAAATTAGTCGAAAGTTATTTTAATTAAAAAATTTAATTTGGCAAATTTTATTTTTTAATGAAAAACCCTGCTAAGTTAAAATAAAGATGTGTGGATTGTTAAGGTACAGGTAAAGGAGCATAATATAACGTTTGTCCCACCACACCGAAAAAACAAACAAAAAATATGTTGTGGGGATTAACGTTATATTATTGTAGCGAACGGACTGATCAAAAAAAAATTCCCGTGAAGGAGCATGCTATGTACGTCTTTCACGTGAGTCTTTACGTAAGAAAATTTTGTGATGACGATATCAGTATTTTATCAAGGATACGTATATCAATTTCAATAGACACAGTATAATATTAATAATAACAAACTATATACTCACATGGTTGCAAACTTTAAGGGTACACGGTCTGCAAAAATTCAGGCATTGAAATATAATCATTGAGACCCCTCATGGTTTCTTTTTTTAAACCGTGAAGCCGACAATTCTTACTTTAATAAATATGAATTATATTTAAAACACGTAGCACGATTTTAGCTCCTCAAAACAGAGGAGGCGACTAAAATTATTATTAATTCATCTATAATGGACCATAACTTTCTCAATAATATTTTATAATTCTTGTTTTATTTTTATTAAATATAGCCGTGCGCAACATTACTGTATTCTCAAATTTTCGAAAAAATGGGGTGAGTCGTTCTTGACTTGGTCAATAGCAAAAATTGTGATCCAGTAGCTTTCGCGTTAGTAGTTCAATATTTTTGTCGAGTTTACCAGACGACATTTTATACTGATATAAAATGTAATGGATAAATAAATTGATTTATTATTTATTATTATGTTGTAATTTGGATATTTTTGCGGAAATTTGGAGCCTGGGCTAAAAATTAAGGCGGATTCATTAACCACAAGTATAGAAGTATGTCATTTCATAAAATTAAAAAAAAATGAGGGGAAGTCATTAAATTGACGATGGGGATAATAGCCAAATTTTGGTTGGCGTTTAACCATCTACATGATATTCCTCATAGGCATACAAAATTTGGCAATAATTTTCTGATAAAATTCGACACAGACAGAGACGACAGAGGACAGTCAGATAGACGGAAATGGGAGACCTAATGTTTCGTACTCTATGGGTAATAAAACGTCGAAAAAACATTAAATGGACCTTATTCATTCTACAATGCTTCCTTAGCTTACACTCTAGAAGTAAAAATCTAAAAGTTATCACAAAAAAACATAAAACACGTATATTTTATGACTGCATTTTATTGATTTTATTAAGCATTTTCGATATCTAAAATTCGTATTATCTGGATTTTTTCACTTTTTTAATGGCCAAAATTATATTTTATTTTTTATGAACACTTTGTATAAAGCCCAGTTTCATTGATCCAATGGTCAGAAAGACTATTATGAATCAAAGCAATTTAACATGAAAGCTCTTCTGAAACAGAATCTGAAACGTAAGAACTGTAACTGAATAACGAGCTTGGAACGAATTCAGAAATTTTTGGCAACAGTTAAAGATCCAAATTAGTAGTTTTTACTTCCCGAGCGTAAGCTAGAAAAATATTGTAATAGGGTCCATCCAATGAAAGGACAATTTCCTGTTTTGTGGACGTTTCATGACCACTAGAGTTTACAAAAATAGGGCTCCCGTTTCCGTCTGTCTGTCGCCTGTCTGTCGTCTGTAGTCTGTTGACGAATTTATCAGACAGATAATCTCTGAAACTACTCATTATCTTTTTTTTAACTTATAGCGGGTATCACAAAAAAAAATAAAATTCATACGTATTTTTTTCTAATCTAATTAGGAACTTTAATTGTTTATCAGGCGTGAAAAAATCTGTCTAAATAGTTTCTGATCATATTTTTCTTGATGTTTAAAATTTTGATGCTTATTTGCATAATTATTTGAAAAATTTCGAAATGGTGATTTTTCATTTATAGGTAAAAGGATATCAAGAAAAATTAATTCTAACACCTCTAAGAGCTAAATATAAATAAAAATCCAGTGCGGACACCAGTCTGAGAATTTCTGCTTCAGGCAAAGAAGTAGGATCTCAAAGTCCGTAAGTTCTGCGTACCTTTGACTTTCTAACACAAAGCGTTTGACGTTTAAGTCCACGGAACTGTAAAGCAATGCCGTATTCAATGCGTTAAAGCTTTTGAAAATACATTTGCAATCTTACCTTACCATTTCGCATTTAAACTAATTCTAAAGCATTTTTGCAGTGTACTAAAAAAATTGTTATCTCCTCATATTCTCCACGCAAACGTAAGAAAATTTGGGTTCTTATTTTTAAACTACAGCGTAATTGTATTAATTTATAAAACCAAATCTAATAATAAGTTATTAAAAAATTTGCAGAAACATATTTTAAAAATGAAGAAATAAAGAGAACCGAAGGAACCTTTCTCTACGAAAACACAACCAACCAAACCAAGAAACAAGGAAACTGGAAAAAAGCTAAATAAAATTAAATGAGATTTTAATAAATCACTGATAAACTTCTCCAAGGATAATAATGAACCTATAAAAACCCTCTACGCAGACCGTGAAACCGCAATCACGGCGCCTCCTAGTTATCGACTCGTGCTGGATTTCGAGGAGCTGGTTCTCGATCTCGAGAATGAGCCCTCGTAAGTGTTGCCGCCTTCTTCTTATTCCGTTTCCCTTTTCCATTAACAAGACGAGAGGGCGTATTGTTAATAAATTGATCGAGTACTTTTAAGAGGATGACCCTTTTAGACCTCTTCGCTGAATTTAGACGGAGGGTCTTAAAGACGAGAGTTATTAAATGACAGGCAATCAAATGATGCATTGGTAATTTTATCGCGTTTCTGCTTCGGGGATTTTTTATATTGAGAAATGTGACGGATGAATAGGTGATTCGGGCTCCGAGTCAGTAAGGCAGGTTGAATGGAATTGATGTAATTAAATGCCTGTAAATGTTGACGTGTAGCTTGTAAATGTACGACATGATTTGAGTTTTATTTTTCGGGTAATAACTAAGCTTCATGGGGTGAGCTGTAAAAATACAGGAACTGTATTGAACGTGTAGTATACAAATTTCAGACATGAAAAAATGTTGTAAATGTGTGATACGCTATACAGGGTGTCCCAACAACCGAATTTCTCTCTTCGGGAGCCGGATTACTGGAACTCTCTGTATATGCCTAAATGATACATCAGTGTTAACAGCCTTTTAACAGTTTTGCTCCCTTTTAAAAAATAGAACATGATTCAGTGAGCTTGTAACGACGGCCATTACTCATGAGGATGAAATATACAACACAAACCGCAAATGAGTGTGGTAAATTATTCTCGTGAGTAACCGCCATTGCACGAAAGCTGATACAATACAGCACTAATATTCAGGTTTTATTTTTTTTTTTTGACCTACTGAAAATACAAATTGCGCCATTAATAACCGGCGAGTCGTGGATTATCCAGTAAGAAACATACTTTAATGAATACAGTGCTGAAAAATTGCAGTTAAA